AGGATGTCTGAGAAACAACACTGCGGCCACATATATAAGATTGTCTAACATCTAAGCAGCAGCAGCCGAAGTCACATTAGCTAAACATTGTATTTTATAACACTGAATATAATCAATAAAATGTTATCTTCATTATTAACCATCAGCCTCCGTATTTACTGGCAGCTGGATGGTTTTATCAGACAATTTTACGTTCAGCAGTTTGTCACTGCTTTCTGAAAGTACAATCTACAATACACTTTTGAAATCAATGCAAAGTACCCTGCTGTCAAATCATTTGCAGCTAATTGTGAACCGTCGTATGTCAACATTATGAAACTGCACACAACCCATAACCCACAGTTGAAAAGTGAAGAAAAGAATATTTTTTTCATGCCATTAGGCATAATGGATATGTTGTCTAAGCCCTATATTTCTTTTTTTTTTTTTTTTTACCGAAAGAGACAATACCAGATGTGGCCAACAGCTTGCCAATCCCCTTCAGCTACCCAAAAAAAAATTACCTAATACCTAGTTTTAGGCTGGGTCCACATTACAGCCTAGGTCAGCTTGTTTAAACCCCTGTCTAGGTGGGTATTTGCATGGTTGCCCCATTGCTGGAAGTGTTTCTGGTGACCTCATAGAAATGGAGTACACTTTGCCCTCAAATTCCACATGTCTTCTCATGATCCAATGCAAATTTCATTCAGCTGCATTCTCAGGATGGGACAACGGCCTAAGAAACAGCCAAGCCATGGTGGGTGAGTATGGATTCATCAGATTCAGACTGTTCTCTGGTTACATATAACATCTCCCATTTCATCTGGCTTCATACTCTCCTGACAATAGTTCTTTAGGATTTTGGCTGTTGGCAAAGTCTGCTATAAAAAATACATCCATAATGAGACAGCAAGCTGTACATATTCACAAAAATCCTCTTTCAGAATCAAAGTTTACTGGAGTTTTGGCTGAATTTACAACATGATTTTGAAATTGTGTATGAGACTGCACACTCTGTATTGCTGGCATTTTCAACTACACATCTCTGTAAAATATGATTCTTTGCTTAAACAGCTATCAAAACACAACAGGAAAATTGCTTAAACGCAGAAGCAAATATTCAAAACTGAACCTGAAATAAAGAAACAGTGAAAAAATACCCAAACACTGCAGTCACATTAAACATTTATAAGTTACTTTGTGGATCTTACTGTTGCTCTCACTATCAATGTAGAATCTACTATAACGGAAACGTTCTGATTTAGTGAACTGTTGAAAAACTTACATGTATGGATAAGTTTTGACATCATCAATGTACAGGTGAAAGATAAGAAAAAACTTGACTTTTATGGTAAATTCTGAAGTTTCTTAAATACAATTTCATGCATGGACATTGTACAATTGTTTAGACATCTCTTTACTTGACATTTCCGTACTATCTACGCCCTCTTCCTCTGCTCCGTAACATTACTTCTAAACATCACTAACTGGTGAGACATAGTTTACGGTGGGGATCCGCCAGAGACATTAATTGTAAAAATGGCTACATAAGTTGTTTGTTTTTTTTAAAGTTTTTTGAACCACTTGTGTAAAGAGTTAAAATAATAATAAGTTGAAGTAACAACTATGGAAGATAACAAGCTGGCACAGACAAAACTAATTCTCCAAAAAATGCGAAACAGTCACATTTGCTAGTTTCTATACACCCCCTCAGCTCCTTTTCCTTAGCATATATGATAAGAGTTAATTAGCAGTTTCAATAATTTTAATCACGTTTCCAAAGCGCTAACAATCAGCATCATTACTTAATAACTTCAACTAGTAATATTAGCCAAGAGATAATGTGCATGAGCAATAACATCAAATTTGTTATCTAAGATAGATGAGTTATATGAGAGAATATTAACAGGTGCAGCTACTCAGTAATCCCTATCATACTAACCCCGTCACTCACAGAAGACTACGTCTACATAATTCTGGTTGTGACTTGTGACAGTCTTATGCCGATGTATCAGCATTTCTACAGTGATCTGTTCTTAAAAAAGCGTAGTTAAATTCCACTGGTTCTATGTGCACCTACCCAGTGTTTAGGGTGCCTGAATATGAATATATTTACTAAAAATAGCATTGAGGGAAGGGGGTCAGTATGACCCTAATGCTTTTGCAAAGCCAAGCTGATGTCAGACTGTCCCCATAAGCATCAGTGATAAAGGTCACAGGGTCATGGCTTGAGTCACATAAAACATATTGTTTTTATATTTTATTCCCCGGAAATGACTTCCACTGAATTGATTAAGTTATTGAGTGGTTGGATCTTCAGCTTAGCTCTTTAAATGATTGGTTATTGGGAACCTGTCTTTCACTATTACCCTTAATCCTTCCGCCTATGAATGCTTTAAACAAACTGGTTATGAACTCATAGAAATACTCTAAAAAATCCTTTTAAAAAAGACAAACCAGCTAAACTAAAAGATCTAATATTCAATAACGTCAATCATACGAAGAGCTAAACTGAAAAATCTAATATTCAATAATGTCAATCATACAAAGAGCTAAACAGAAAGATCTAATACTCAATAATGTCAATTACATAAGGAGCTAAACTGAAAGATCTAATACTTAATAATGTCAATTACATAAGGAGCTAAACTGAAAGATCTAATACTCAATAATGTCAATCACATAAGGAGCTAAACTGAAAGATCTTATACTTAATAATGTCAATTACATAAAGAGCTAAACTGAAAGATCTAATACTCAATAATGTCAATCACATAAGGAGCTAAACTGAAAGATCTTATACTCAATAATGTCAATCACATAAGGAGCTAAACTGAAAGATCTTATACTCAGTAATGTCAATTACATCAGGAGCTAAACTGAAAGATCTTATACTCAATAATGTCAATCACATAAGGAGCTAAACTGAAAGATCTTATACTCAATAATGTCAATCACATAAGGAGCTAAACTGAAAGATCTAATACTTAATAATGTCAATCACATAAGGAGCTAAACTGAAAGATCTTATACTCAATAATGTCAATCACATAAGGAGCTAAACTGAAAGATCTTATACTCAATAATGTCAATCACATAAGGAGCTAAACTGAAAGATCTTATACTCAGCAATGTCAATTACATCAGGAGCTAAACTGAAAGATCTAATACTCGATGTCAATCACATAAAGAGCTAAACTAAAGGACCAACTAAACAGTCTCAATAACATAAAGAGCTAAACCAAAGAATAAACTACTCTATGTCTTAATAATATAAAGAGGTAAACTAAAGGATCCAATACTCTGTAATGTCAATCACAGAAAGAGCTAAACTGAAGGATCAACTACCTGATAACCACAATCATTTTACTATCAACTTGTTTAGATCTGTCTTAGACAATGTATGATATGTATATAGACAACCGACTCATGAATCCCTGTCACTGTGTTAATTTTTGTTTTGTTTACATTTTATCACATTGTATAGCGGCATATCTGAAAGTCATTCACCAACGATGTTTCAATGGCTATTTTTTTCTCCCTTTGGTCATTCAATATAAAACCTTCCTTCTGTAACAGAAAAAAAAAAACTTTTTAACTAAGCTGATTAGATATAGATAACCCATTGAATTAAAAAACATTTTCTGGCCAGATACAATCTCAAACACTAAACTACTTCGTCACAAACCAAGAAACTCTAGACAGTACGATAACCAAGAGAAAATGGAAATGGCTTGGCCAAGTTATGAAAATGAATCCTGATATACCTGCTAAAACAGCTCTCACATGGATACCAGAGGGAAAGAGAAAAAAAGGCGCCCAAAAACAACATGGAGACGAATGGTGAAAAGTGACCTGAGTGCGGCATCTCTGGCATGGAAAACTGCACTGAAGATTGCATAGGACAGGAAAGCATTGAAAGTCCTCTCTGAAGCCTCATGTGTCACCAGGCATAAAGAGAACTGATGATTATTAACTAACTACTACCCACTCAGGTTAAGACGGTATCCTTTTGTTTACATATATAAATTATTTAAAGAGATGCCATTCAACAACTGCAATCATTTTACTAGCTAAACTAATCAATCAATAACACACCATCATCATCATGTAGCAGGTCCTTTGCAGAACGCGGCACTCATCATGTCTGCCTGACAAATTCTATGAGTTCCGATCATCACATTGTCTCTAGGTTAATTTTATATATATATAACCTGAAATGTTTTGGTCATATCAAGTGTCATGGTGGATTGCCAAAAATAATAGAAGGCATGGTACCATTTATTATATATATATATATACATATAATAAATGGTACCATGCCTTCTATTGCTTTTTGGCAATCCACCATGGCGCTTGATATATATATGACCGAAATATTTCAGGTTCCATGGCAAGACAATGTGCTGTTTATTAGCCTTGATTTTCAGATCTTTTAATAACCCATCACATACAGTTTTTTTTCAAAAAGCTGAAAAATTTACTGCCCGACATATTTTGTTGCATCCCGTCAGGCTCATTATACAGTAATAATTGAATAACATAAAACAAATAAATTAATTAATCCTTTACAACTGAATTAAAAAAAAAAAACTACAAAAACTGATGCTGTTGTATCATCTAATGAGATATAATGAAAGATGCCAAGCAATAAATAGTGTTATCTATTGTTGTTTTTGTTCAAATAATTTACGTTAGGTAAACATCTCTTTGTCTATCAAAAGTTAACTTTTCAATGGCTCAACAATATTATCAGTAACACTGAAAGTGGGGATACTCAATAATTTCAATCAAATTCTGGCTAAACTGAAGGACTACTTTTCAATAATCCATCAGGTAAAGTTAACTACATGATAACCCAATGACGTTTAACAATAGGGTTGTCATATGTCCGTCATTTTGCGAATACTCATTTATGCTAGTTAATGATAACACTAAAAGTGAGGAAATTCACAAATGTGAAACATATTACTAGCTAAACTGAAGGATGAGCTTCTAAAATTTCCATCATGTTAAATCAATTACTCAATAACCTCAATCATGTTAACTATCTGGTCTCTAGTCATATTCTTGTGGTGGGAGCGAACATGGCTACGCATGTTGTCCATTCGGGTGCCCTTCTTGCCACAAAACTTACAAGAAAACAAACGACTAGGGGAGTGAACCGTGCGCACGTGTTTGGTGAGATCTCCTCTTTTAAAGAACGCGCTTCCACACACTTCACAAGCATGGGCCTTCTCATCCTTGTGGGTGCGCTTGTGAGCGCTGCACTGCGACTGTGTGTAAAAGGCTTTGCTGCAGATATCACAGCGAAATGTTAACTTGTCAGGGTCCAAGGTGTGCAGCTGCTCATGCAGCTCCAATGAAGTGGCGTCTGCAAAGCCTGCTCTGCAATATTCACAGAAGTGACAGCAGGCATGAGCCGCAACGTAGTGCAGGCGCAACTGTTTCACGGATTTGAAAGATTTAAGGCAGTGGCTACATTTGAGGTTTGTGGAGGATGCCTCATGCCGCGTCATATGTTTGCTGTATTCAACGTGAGTGTCAAAGGTCAAGCAGCAGGGCTTACATGTGTAGGAGCAGTGAGTGTCCTTGTGTTGGGTTTCCACGTGTTGATCAAGAGCTTCGCTGAGGGCAAATTTTTCTCCACAGACTTGACAACCAACTAATGGGTAGAACTGGGAAGGGATGCCCAGGAAGTTATCTTGAGGCAGAAGTGATTCACCGTCTCCTTCTTCTTTCGAGGAGGTTGCTGTGAGAGCATAATCAAAACTCTCCTCAGATTCAGATTTTATATTGGAGTCTGAGGCTGTGTCTTCAATCAGAACTGGTTTGCCAACTGTGTGAGTAGGCGACTGCGGTTGTTGTGGCAGTTTCATGCCCGTAGCTTCATCATCGTCATCTTCTTCTTCGTCTTGGACATTGTAGCCTGTCTGCAGTGATGAAGGAAATGCTTGGGAGAAATCTGTGCTGGATGAGGTGGCAATGGAAGAAGCAGCAACTGTACTGGGTAATGCTGAATTGGATGATGAAGATGGCAATGGGAAATTGGTTTCAGGACCATGTGAAGCTTCCATGTGTAAAATTAGCATGTTTCCTGTCAGGGTGCCGGACTGACAAACAGAACATGACCTCTCAAAGTCCACACGATGTTTCTCCATGTGCCTCATTAACAGCTCTACAGTACATTTCATTCCACACAAAACACATGAGTGAGACTCGGGTCGCAGTTCTCCTTCTTCATAATCTATATCCATCTGACTAGCCACATGCTCTTCAGCTAAAAGACGCATATAATGAGAAGACAGTTTTTCTACACTCGCCCCCATGTCATCAGTACTATCTCTGGAACTCTTTTTAACCTGTTCCAGAGAAGCAGACGCCAATAAAACGGATTCAGCAGCAGTGTTCTGGCTCTGTGTCGGCCTGTACAGCTTCTCTGTGTCGTCTGTGTGTGGAGTGTAGTCCCTTGTTGGCACCAAATCCCTCTGAGCTGCATACTCCCATCTTAGACGCTCAGTGTCCCGCTGGTACTGTTGCATCTGCTGCTGCAGATAGGACTTCTCCATGATACTGCGTTGATAAGCAACCATCTGCCACTGCTGCTGCTGCCTGGCCAGTTCCTCTAAGTCCTGCTGTCTGAACATGCTTACACCAGGATCCCTCATCTGGAACATGGCAAGCTGGGCCATCTGACTTTCACTCATGCCACCAGTGTAACTACTGTCCTCCTCCTCAACAATGATTGGAGCAGTTGCTGTAAAGAGTTAACCAAACCACAGTTAGACTATATGTAAGAATATCAACTGTCTGCAACAATGATTGGAGCAGTTGCTGTAAAGAGTTAACCAAACCACAGTTAGACTATATGTAAGAATATCAACTGTATGCAACAAAGATTAAACAGAACCACAATCAGACTACACAAGAATATAAACTGTCTGCAACAAACAGATAACAGAACTACAGTCATAATTTATAAGAATATAAGCTGCTATGGCAAAGAGTTCATATTATATCATAAAAGAATAAACGCCTACTGCAACAAATATCTAATATAAGAAAAAAACTTACTGCAGTAAAGAATTCATAAAACTACGAGACAATTAGACCCACAAAAATATAAACTTATTGCAAAAAAAAGATGTAAAAAAAGCAGACAATAAGAGAATGTAAACTGAAAGCTGCGCTAGAGGGGGCAGCGTTAGCACAGTCGATAGGAGACTTGCTTTCAAATCCAGCTGCAACTCACTGCAGCTTACAGCCGGTGTTGGAAACCGGGTGGTTTTTTTGGTTCACGCAGCCTCTAGGTAATGGGTACCAGAGTTAACACTCTGGGGTAAATGGAGGAACATCGCTGTAGCTACAGAATTGCATATGGGTGGCGACACAGGCGAACAGTTTCTTATCAGCTGTCCGTACTGGTGGCAGAGCACTTATGGTTTAAAACTGTGTGCAATGGTGCTGGTTCACATCTCCCAACTTTACATTTACCTTTAAACTTAGAGCAACAAATAACTAAATTCAAGAATACAATTTTACTGCAATTAAAAGTTAATACACCACAATTAACCTACCAGCTCTAAGGTTTTGGGTTCACACCCTCATGGAGGCAGATTTTTTCTTCAAAATTGACCCTGGCTTTCAGATCGACCCAGCCTAAGACAGGGACTAGTTAATGTTCTGGGAAGGAAAGGCAGCCGGCATGATGTTGAGCACATCGCCAACAAAGTGCCAAATGGTCTGTAATTTGATCCAGTATCTTCTTCTTCACTTCCTACTTTACTGGTTCCTCTTCCTGCTCTTCTGACCTCCTTGACTACATGCACACTGTGCTGTCATAGAGTTTCTCTGATGTTTTATTTCCATCTTGTTCTTGATCTTCCTTGTGCTCTACATCCTTCTCCTCTTTTGTGTATAAAAAAACCTATTGTGGTCAAACATAATGGATAGTCATTGCAAATTGCTGCCTCCATGTGTCTGGATTGATTTTGTGTGGTTTAATGTGAAACAATTCTGAAAATTCACAATGAAGCGGCTGATAAACCAAGCACTTCAACAGGAAAGTGAAGTAGCACTAGGCTTTTCAGTCTAACAGGTGATCAATACTTTGGTTGATTCAGTCTTTGAGGAGTCAGAATTCAACAAGAATACGTTTCCAGTTCAAGGGACACAGACTCTGAGAGCTTGAGTGATGAGGAGAATCTTGAACCTTTTAAATCTAAAGCTAGATCGATAGAGAAGGAACATGATATACAAAAATGCAAGTTACTTGCAAACAACTGGTTAGAATAAGATGAAATGTGGAGACATTGTAGAAAATAGGTTTACTTTTCATCATTGAAATTCAGGTCTGTATTTGGTGATACAAAATTCCTTGTCCAGCCTTCATCACCACCTAGATCTTTCTCATCAACTGAGGGACACATCCCCCTTCTCTTTAATGCCCAGGAGCCCAGGTATAGGGGACAGTTAGGCTCAGGGTCTCAAGTTTGGTAGAGTTAAACACTCTAAATTAAATGTATACTTAGAATCATAGTGGCTAGATGCTCGCCTGCGGATCGGAAGGTCGCTGGTTCGGGTCCTGAGAGAGCCTGACTTTTTTTTAAATTGACCTCGGCTCCAAGGTCGACCCCGCCTTGAGTGGGTATCAGATACAGTCCTGGGAAGTAAAGGTAGCCGGCGTAATGCTGACCACATCACCCATCAAGTGCCAATCGGTCTATAAAATATAGGTCAAGCCCTATATGTCCAATTTGCCTGAAGGCTCGGAAAAGGGCCTTTTTCTTTTACTTTTCACTTACTAAGAATCATGTCTATATAAGCATGTGAAGTTAAATGTGACACACAGAATAAATCTGCTGTTACAATCTATTACCTGTATGAGGTAGAAGTTGAAGTCCGCCAGAACTACCATCATCCCCACTCGTACCAGAAATCCCAGCCTTTTCTCGATCTTCTACTTTAATCCCTTCTTCATCTCCTTCCACAGAGGACATCTTTCTCTTTTTCCGTGGCGGCTTTTTCTCAGGAAGTTCTAACTGCTCATGCTCCTTGAACTCATACTTCCTTTTAAACTCTTCAACCTGGTTGACTGGTAAAAAAGGAATGTCATAGCCACTAGCACCATCTATCTCCGTCTTGCCGAGTATCACCTGCTGATTCTCATTTATCACTACTGCATGTCTCTGAAAAGCCGTTCCAAAATCTGCCTCTATTTCTTCGTCAGAATCACTCTCTCCCTCGCTGGACTTTTCACTCTCTATTTTACTGTCATTCAACTTTTCAAGTACTCCGTCTGGGTATTTATATTTCTGATCATCAAAACTGGACTTTCCGCTATCCATGTTATCGTCTAATGCAAATTTGTCACTTTCTTTTGGAATGCCAGTAATATCAAGGTTTATAACCTCATTGCCAAGACCAAAATTTGTCTCAGAAGCATGGGTCAGGAATTCCTCCTTCTTCACAACAAATCTGTCTACGCTACCCTCAAGTTTCATGTCATCAGTGGCCTTAAATCGCTGCTGGTGCTCCTCTCTGTCATCTGCTCTTTGGGCAATCTCATTGAGCTTGATCACAAAACTTTCATCCTTATTAACAACAAGTGATAAGTTGCCTTCCAAACTGACAGAAATGATTCGGGTCCCTTGAGCTGTTTCATACAGCTCTAAAACAGCATCATAGAAGGACCTCCTAAGGAACTTTTCCATTACCAACTTGCTGTATTGGTATTTTGACATCTTGTGTGTCAACTGTTTAGCTCAAAGTATCATAAAGTTGTATCCAGTAGCTTTCAACCTGCAATGAAAAAAACAGTAAATGGTAATTAATGCTAACACATGCTGTATGTTACTTATGTGATCACTATCCACGCCACTGCACACTGGGCATTCCCATGCACGCTCAGCCCTCTGATGCAGCAGCCACTCCAAGGTAACTCCACGAGAACTTGGTTATGTTGTCTCCTGTCTTGACTTTGAAAACAGCATAGATGTGCTTCACCAAGCTTTACTCCTAGGTCAGGCAATCATGCTAACATTAGAGACTCATGACTGTTCTTCAGCCTAGTCCGTATAGTGTTGATGATAGCTACTGGTGTATCTATCCATTCTTCTACATTTCAACCAGAACTGATAACTGACTTCTGTTTTTTGTATGCTTATCTGAATAGATAAATTGCACAGCACTAATATAGTACACATAAATATATATATTTATATACATACTTCTAGCATGACGATACAGATAGCAGCTGTAATGGGAAACTTTTATGGCTGGCAGAAAATAAAGCAACTTACTCACTGATAGTAGTGACAGGTAAGCAAGCTTAAGAAAACTCTAACTAGAATGGGTTGGCGGCATCTAGAAATCCGGCCTCAAGAAACTATTTTGTCTGTACACACCAGAAAACGTCAGAGTGTAAGTAAAGTAAAGTAAAGGGCATCCACGCCTTTAGTATAGGGCATATAGGGCTAGACCTATATTTTTATCAACAAACTATGGGTGATTGGTCTGCATACACGCCGGCCGCCTCTACTTCCCCAGTAAAAGGCTGGGTCGACCTGGGAGCCAAGGTCATTTTTGAAAAATGCCAGAGTGAGAGGAAATGAAAGAGTAGACAGATCTGCAGTGGTTGGTGGAGAAGAAAGTATGGACAAGGCAGACATTGAATACGCTGTGTTCTAGAGACTTTGAGATAAACAATTTAGAGTCAATGAACCACCTGCTGGAAATGGATGTTAAACAAGGACGAGCATGTAAAAATCGGTTTCGTGGTAAAGAAAGAATGAGCAGGGAGACCACTAAGATGCTGTTTCAGAGGATGGAGCATGAATGGGTCGGACTGATGTGCTAGGATGTCAGTACGGACAACAAGTAATAAGTAATACAGTACATGTGTCGAGAGAGATATGTTGTCCTTCTGAGAGGTAAGCAGACCATTGTGTAACTGTCTTCTAGATAGCAGATAACGGTAAACAATAAAAAAAATAATAAACTGCATCCATTTACATATAAACAGGAAAAGTATTTTTTAGCAGAGCTGATGAAAAAGCTCCCAAAGTATCATTCTACAATCATATGGTAATGTGCAGCAGTACTATAGCAGCAAATGGCACCACGAGTTGTAACAAACCTCTCTGGTTTCTGATATTTTATTTATTATGCATCCCCAATTACATTTCCACAAGTTTAAGATGCACTTATTTTTTTAAAAATAAAACAGGGTAAAAAAAACAGTGTGCGTCTTATACAATGGTAGTAGATTTTGATGATTTGTTAAAAAAATATTCCGTACAGAGCTTCATTTGGAAATTCTGGTTCAGGTTTAATTATGCGTTCATTTTTACATAAGAATTAGAAATTTCGGGAGAAGCCATGGTGTAGCAGCTAGACCTCTGCCTGTGAATCAGAAAGTTGTGGGTTAGAGTCCTTAGGGAGCAAGACTTTTTTTTAAAAATGACCTTGGCTCCTAGGTTGATCCAGCCTTGAATGGGTACCAGGTACAGTACTTGGAAGTTAAGATGGCCAGACTGATGCTGCCTACATCACTCACCAAGTTCCGACTGGTCTATAAAATATAGATCTAGCCCTATATGCCCAATATGCCTGAAGGCGTGGAAACGGGTCCTCTACCTTCCTTTAATAATGAGAAATTTTACAAGGATTGGCTTACAGAAAGTTTTGAAAAACATATTTTAGTGTCATCACTGTTTTTGCTTCAAATCAAAAAAGTGCGCCAGACAGACGTTTGACCCGCTTCTACTTTGTAATTAATAAACCACTACATTGCATTTTCAGAGATTCTTTAGTAATTAACTTAAAATGCTTACTAAATTAGTAATTTTGTGTGAGTTATTTTGTTTGAATCCACAACCACTGCAGAAATTTTTCATGCATCTGTCATTATTTAGAGAGTTCATAGAATTTTCTGTTGGAGATATTTCTACCTGATCATCTCCAGCCTTTGGTCACGAATTTCATCCATTAAGCCACACTGGCTGAGCATTTTAGCAATTATGTTGAAATGCGCTCTAAAATATTACTGTTATATGAGTTAATAAATGAACAACACACAAATAGAACATAATTATCCACAAAGAGCAGCTAATCCAGAGATATGCAAACTGGCAATGTACATCCAATTTTAAATACAACCCCATTTATATGGTGCATAAGTAATGATTACTACAAGTTAGGTAGTATCTAAAATGTCTAATCAACTGTTTGAGTCCCGCGAAAAGCATCACGCGCTAAAAGGTTACATACAACCCAGGGGTCCAATCAGTCTGTGAGGAGTCAAGGCTTCTCATTTACCACTGACCAGTAATAAAATGTGGAAAGCTCAATTTCAGCTTTCTTTCCACTTCTTTGTGTTTGATATCAAGCGTGCTGACCAGCTGACTCATTTGGAAACGTGGTTAAAAGCCTCAAATATAGTTTATTTGTGAGGTTTACGGAATTACTTAGTGTTTGAAAACAATATAGTCACTGAGCAGTATTCTGCATGCATGCCAACATAATTTACAGCTTTAGAAGCCTCAAATTTAAATAAAGCATGTGTTTATTAGATTTATCCTAAGTTAGATAGATAACTGCAAAGTTCACTTGTTTCAGTCATTTATGGAATCAAACTATGATGAAGGATAGCTCTAATGTGTACCTCATGTGAAGGGTACACTGATAGCAAAGTCAGCTGGTACAAAGAGAATAAATATTAGTGAAATGGCAATTTTCTTCAGTGTCAGTTAGTTCTTGTGCTATTTTCCTTATTAATTAGGGACATAGCTACAAAATTACAAGCAAATTGAGCGTTATATAAACTTCGATTTGTGTGAAAATAGTAACTGTTTTGGTAAATCAGTTCTCTTTCCCAAATAATAGTGCTCTGTTATGGAACAAGATCTAATGTACAGATTGAGTTTATATTATAGTTATATATTACTAAGTGGTTCAAGTTCATTTATGATTCAATCTGGACATATCTCAATGAGTTTTCCTGAGCACTATGGTGGTAAGTGGAAAAATTAATATTTCATTTTACTAATTTCTGCAAATATACCGTCCGTTTATTTACTAATATTTAACTGCTAACACAATTATTTGTTGTAGTAGTATAATATTATTATTCCTCAACAATCCCTTGTCACTTTGATGTATAATGTGTGTATGTTGCATGGCAGCTGAATTTGTATAGTATATTTTAATGTGTAACACTTGTGAGAATAAACAAATTGCATCACCACCCCTTGGGCCTCTGATGCCAAACCCCCTTGGACTCAAAGAGTTAAGCAGTGCTCCATCAAAATATTTACAATGAAGTTAAAACTATAGAGTAAAAGCAGAACATACAGTGGCTCAGTTGCTAAGCCAGGTGCCTCATGGTCAGAAAATTATAGGCTCTCTGGGAGGAGGTTGTGCATCACTCTCAAGATGCGTCTAGCCACTGTGTAGAGACAGATCAAGCAGTGTGGGGTAAAAACAAGTGCAATTAAGTGAATAATTTTTACTTTAAACCTCCTTTAATCATTAACTTATAAAGAGCTTACTTAAAACTAATGAGCTAGCAGTTATTTTTATATGTTAATCAGGCCCGCATTGCATTATACTTATCTGAGATATATGCATATAAAGATAAGCCTCACTGCCACAATTGCAACGATATACAGATGCCAAGGGATTGGCTAGCATCCCTACCACTATGCTAGCTGCATTGTTTATTAGTAATTTTCAAAATTTGACATAAATACCCGAGACATAATAATACATTATTTTACTGGATTTTAAAATAGTACTGAAGGGCATCTTTTGTGTATACAGGAGCACAGCTACCTATTAATTATGAAGTCTGAACCCGCCCCCACCCCCTCCACCGCAGGGATCAGCTAAAGTCAATTTTTCATTAGCAGGACTAGGTACAGAGATCAAAATGGTACCACAACTTGAACTTAATATATAATTAAAGGCTCTCCTCCGAACTTTGACCCGATATTATGGCGGCCATAAAATATCCTTGCAGGGCTCAGTTCTGTTAAAAATATGCCGGCTCCGTATAATGGAACAAATGCTCTAACAGGGTCTCCTCTGCGATATGTTACTTGCAGACCTGTTTCTGGGAGAGCCAAATTAATAATCGTTTAAATAGTACTACTAGTACTACTATGTCTTGGAAAGTGTATTTTGTTAGTAAAATAAACAATGAAAACAATGACAATGTATTTTATTTGCATTATAATTCATTATTTATCCAAGATGATACTGTTCCAAACAGATCTTCGTGTAATTAATATTATTAGTGAAAACATCCAGTTTAATACTACTCTTTCTGCTACTAGATGCTGTCTTAACTGTCTACATTGAAATTTCATTTTAATGTATTTTTTTTAAATGTTTTTTTTTAAAGAGATACAATAAAATAAAGGAATACGTCGAAAAATGTTTCATTATTGCTTCGCTTAGACAATCTGCTTTCATTAAAAAATTAAATACCAACATTTAAAGCGAGACGGAGACAGCTAGACGACAGTTACTCACAGAAATGGGTTCATCGACCAATTTTGTTGTCAATTGGCAAGTTTCAGCAGACGTCAGCCATTTTGAATTTATTTCCCATCGCCGATTGACCTCCCTTGCTTGAGACAGACTGCAACTGGGTGGGGAGACACCCGAGGCCACTGTTGTAGTCGTGCATAGGCCTAGACATTGTTTAGCCTAAGGAAAGTGATAACACATTAAATGAGGT